TCTAATAAACGGACTTGCGGTTTTCTCACCATTAGTTTGAAAAATCCTGGAAGGTTAAAATGTATAAAACATGCCCGAGAACAAACACTATGAGATATAAATAGTAAAGTATCATTCTAATTTTACTTAAGGTTATTAGAAACAAAGTAAAATGATTTATTCGGTACCATGAACATTTTCACAAAAATAACTCATTAGTATAATACATTCATAAATGTATGAGCATCATGACGCTGAAAAAGTATCTATTCAGTTTAATATTGGAAAACACCAAAACACGAACTCAGAGACATCAGTCAAATTTGACTCCTGATTTATTCACTCTCAATTATGATCACTCACTCTCGTTTCATTCTTTTGCCACAGTGTAAAAAGTGACATATGACTTTAATCAAACTTAAAATTTAATAGACGTCTCCGATTGCGGCTATTACTACGCTGGTCTTCTGAAGATTTCCACTTAATAAAGATCCTTTACAGTTTCGTAAAAAACGTAAAGTGTGAATACAAAGCGACCCTACCTATCTACTAGTAAGTGTATTCATTACCGGAGTCTCACCTGCCGTCTCGTTACGTGCAAAAAAATATTCAATTTCCTTATTACGGGATCCTTTCTCATTTCTATCCGATTCCCTATCGCCTGCCCGCCCGGACGAATTCAATTTCCAAAAATCTTCCGATTTACCAAATTATCATAACGAACCAAATAATGTAATCGTGCGTTCCCTCCAATTTGATCGGCGGTATTTTTTCATAATTTTGTTTGAGCGTTATATTAACTCGTATGTGACTCGCATATTGTTACATACATGACATAAATTCTATTCAACAAGAGACAAGGACCACTTTCTCCAAAGTTCCTAAATAAAATGTTTTAGGTAAGCATATTTAAGCCTGATTATATTTTACTTTAAATAATTGACAAAGATGGAATGATATGTTTTAACATAATTAAGACTTAGTTGTGTTAATAATGCTGATACAAGTTTCCCTATTGTTATTATTTCAGTTTTTTGGGGCTATGCAGTCACGTGCGAGTGCACTGTGATCTAAAAGATCTATTGCGAAGTCATCGATGCCATAAACAGTGACTTAGTCGCTATCAAAACGTGGTCGAAAGCTATATTATTGAGTAGATCAAGAATAATGTGCAGAATTGACAAGAGCAGTCTTGTGTCTATTTTCTATGATGGCATTTCGATCCCTCTCAGTAATGTTGCAAAATATTTCGGATTGTATGTTAACTCAAATTTCAAATAGCAGGATCAGATAGGTAGTGCCTGTCAAAAAGTAACTGGTACATTCCTGTTCTCCAACTTTCTACCACCTGTAATTTTCTGCCGGTCAATATCAAGGCAATGCTTGTGCAAACTTTGATTTTAGTTATAATCGACTATGGTGATGTGTGCTACCTCGATCTGAATACAAATAACTGCAGTCGATTCGTATTTAATCTTAGAAAATATCATGACGCGTACGCATACCAATCTTTCTTAAAAATGGATGCTTATTAGGCAACGCAGAAGTATGCGGGCTCTGACCACTCTGTTCACCTTGCTGGATTCTCCTAATGCCCCTTCCTATCTCACTTCTCAGTTTCAATACTTATGTACTTCTCTAACTAATAATCTTCGATCTTCTTCTAATTGCATAGTTATCGCTCCATCTCATCGTTCTGATATTATTCACTCTTTCTTCTTCGTGAGACCTATACTTCTGTGGAACAAACTCCCCCTAGACATTAGAATGCCCACCAGCAAATATAGCTTTAAAACCAAGTTACGAAGCTTATGTGTGTAGACATAAAATTATTTTTAAGTTCCTATTTATGTATGTGTAATTCATTATATATTATTTATATTTATTTGACTTTGTGGTATCTCTACAGTAGTTACTGTGACCACCCCCTACCACTATAGTACCGGCACTCTATGATGGCCGTTTAGACGTTAGTGTGTCAATGAAGTTTCATATTCTAAATTCGAAATTAGTTCTAAATTAAAAAGAAATGTTCTTCGTTGTCATTAGAGACGCACACTTAGTTATAAAAATTATCAAATAGGACTTTTTGGCGGGATCGGGAAGCGTCACTTAAGCAGTTTTGTTTTCCTTGTTAAAAATTGCGGATATTAGTGTCTAATAATAGTGGATTATTAATCACTAAGTGTTCGGGAACATGCACAAGTGTTGGCAAGTGAAACAAAATAGCGGAAAGTATCTTTCGACGTTCCCTCAGGAAGACCACGGGGAGGTTCCAGTAAATCCCCACACTTTTACTGAGACATGGGGAAAGGGGGATTAACTTGACTGCCACTTACTTTGACTTGACTTATTACTTTGACCACGAGTGCTATAATATTTGTATACCAACATTTAACACTTGACATTAGCTAAATGCACATGCCGTGCGAAGCCATTTAGAAAAAAAAAATATCGAATCGGTAATTTTAGAGGCGTAGAATTTAAATACAAAAATATATATAAATATAATGTTATGGTCTAACTTATATTATTATGGTTACGAAAACCCTTTTAAGTTTAAAACAATTAAATATACCTAGTCAGGTCATAAATTCTGTCACATGTTTAATATAATAAAATAAATGAAACAAGTTTATTCATTATGTAACCATTTATATACCAAAATGAACTTAACAAAACATAGATTCTTATGACATTAAAGTTTATTCAAAATGACCTCCGTGATTTTGAATACAGGCCTTCAATCTGCGCGGCCAGTCGTCTATCACAGCACGAACGAGGTCCATGTCAATATCGGCGGCTGCCTTAATCAAGGATATCTTGAGTGACTCCAAATTGGGATGAGGCTTTGAGTACGCCTTTTCCTCCAAGTGTTGCCATATCTTGTAATCTAACGGACTCAAATCTGGACTGGAGGAGGGCCAGTCTTCGTGCCGGATGAAGTCGATTTCACGCGCCGAATTTTGTTGCAATACCCAGTGCCTGTTATTGAACATGGTATGAGAAACAGGTTCCACAAGGTTCGTCAGGACTGTATTTTTATACACAACTGCATTCGTTTTTACACCTTTCTCCCAAAAATGTGCCTCTGTTAAGCCCCAATAAGAAACTCCCAACCATACCATGAGCGAGGATGGAAAATGACCTCGTTGGACACGCGGAATACGGTTGCTCGCTTCTTAACTACTGTGTGCGTACACCTTATCATTTTGTTTGTTGTAGCTCTCTTCTACGGCAAAAAGTTTTTCATCCAAAAAAAGAATTTCCCGATATTTTTTTCCCGCGTACCGCTTCACCAAAGCGCGGCATCTCTTCAGTCTCAGGTCCATTAGACGAGCATTCAAACGATGTCCTGTTTTTCTTCGATATGCCCGAAGCCCTAAGCCTTCATTTAACACCCTTTACACCGTGGTTCTGCTTACCCCATCTGAAGGGCCAACAGTTTCTGCTTACGTTTGGGATTTCTTTGAATTCGCGCCTTCACAGCTTTTATCACTGCTGGAGTCCTAACAGACCGAGGGCGACTACTTCTTGACCTGTCATCTACACTGGAGTCTTCATTGTATCGTTTGATGGAACGATAAACGAATCTTTTGGGTATATTAAAATTTTTCAGTATCGGTATGTCAAAATATTTGAATTGGCGCGTAACCGCAACCATGCAACGTAATAACTGCAACACGGTCTTCTTTAAGCGTCCACTCCATATTTAAAAATGAGTAAAATTTTAAAAAGTATACATGTTTATTTTCATGAACAATTCGAAATTCGAATTCAATAAACTTTTTTGTGGCCAGCATTCTAAAATAAAAGTTTTTACAGTGTGACAATACTTATGACCTGACTGTGTATAATATACGAGATACATAGCATTTTCAGCTTAAAACACCGATATTAATCCTTGTTTTTAAGTAAATTAATTTAATTAATTATTAGTTTCATTCTTATTATAATTAAGAACTGTTATATCATACAAATAATCATATAATTTTAGTGTAGGTACTTATTCGCCATATAACTTGGATTTGTAAATTTCTAAATTAGAAATGTAAAAACATGAAATTTATAATATCGCTACATAAAGGATCGCCAAACATGATTAAATTAACTTTTATAATCAGCAACTTTTTGCAATTTCGGAAAAAAATCAAAAATTTTAATACCTAGCCTTTTCACGACACTATTGCAATATGTCAAAACGGCCATTATCCACAACAACCTATGGTTGACTGAGAGATTGCCTACGGCATTAAGTCCACATTTGTATGCTTATGCATTAAGAATAAATAAATACACAGATTCTGGTAAAAATTAGGAGACCTTTTCCGAGCTCTGTGACAAACAAACAGACAGCATGGGCATATTAATAGGGTTCCGTCTGTCACCCTTAAGGTACAGAACTCTAACAACTGACACAGCAATTTAGACTTTCGAAGCGTCGTTAAAGTTGGTTGTTGAACAACAATAGATTCATTGTGACGTAATGAATGGGATTAATTTGAATAAAAAGTAAAAAAGTGATTTGTCTCCCTCGGTGAAGTGCTGTCAAATTGAATTAGTCCGCCCATGGACCTTCTTATTTCAAGCTTGTCAAAATTTATTTATTGTCAAATTGATGAGTATTTTCTAATATATTAAAAAAAAAGTCATTCATGGCTTGAAAACCTATGTACTTGATTGGGAGGAGTACCGGATCCAATTTACAGAAGACGTTCATTATTATCATAAGAGATTGCATATAGATGCGCAGGTCCAGTGCAGACCGGATTGGTGGATTAGCTACTGTAAAGCTACTGAGAAAAGGGCTTAACGTGCCTTTGAATAAAATTTTGGTCACCATTTAATGACTGACCATTGTGTAACTTGCTTAACTTCCAAGATCGAAGACTATTAACCCTGCATCATCAAGCTCTCCAAAAAAGTTATAATTTTTTCTAACCTTCGATAGAAGAAAACTCTGTTAGAAGAAGGTACGTGAAGAATATAAAGGAAGATAAAATTATTGAATGTGTTGGACTCTACGCCTTGCGGGATTTGCCAAACACCTAAACAAAAAAAATGTATGTGTAGTATGTGTATATTTATTTTATTCTGTTTTTAGTATTTGTTGCTTACAAAAATACTATAGCAGAAATTTTCACAAACGATGTAGGCATTTCTGTTGCTGCTAACATATTTTTTTTTGACGGTGAGGTATCCCTTGTCGGACCGCACCGTGCGCTGGCGAGGCGCACGGCGTGTGTGGGGACTCACCCGGCGTGGGACGCAGCGCCGGTCCTACCCACATAAACTCACCGGTACCCTCCTACGTCCATGTGGGAGCGTCTCAGGACCTCTATGTGCGCCACTTCACTGGAAAGCCCACGGGTCGGCCCGGCCCAAATGGACCGGGCGACAGCTAACAAAAATACATTTTTTTTAATTTTTGTCTGGAAAATGCTTTACGCATACTTCAACCACTGGGGGAGCGAGAAGAAGGTATGTGGGACTCCTCCCGTCCACTTCAGCTAGCCCTGACTCTCACCGAAGTGAACAGGGCCCTACCTACGCCCTGACCAGGGCCCCTAAAGACCAGGCAATACTCCAGCACTGGTCACCCGACACGCAATCCGGGGACCGGGGTCCCCGCATTGCTTGCCAAGAGTGCGGGTTTGCAGCCACGGGATTTGCAACGCGCCGCGGCCCCGCCAGTGGTTGTCCGTTGCCGGACCCCCCGGCGTGCAGTTCCCGGAGTATCAGGGGCACCACACTTCTCAGGAACCGTGCAATGTGTCTCGACGCTCCCCACGTCCAGCCACTGGTTCCCGGAGGAGCGGGAGGGGGAGCGTAGTTCTCCCCGTCCCTCTCCTCTCGCCGTCATTGCGGGAGCAGACACCCCCACTCCCGGCTGCCCGCGTCCCCGGTCGGGGACCCTGCTCCTAAGAGAAGATATGGGAGACACGGGCGGTAGCAGTCGGTAAGGAGTCCAAGTAGCCTAGACTACTCGGATATCCCATCCTCTGAGCCTGTCCTGGCTCCGACGACTCAGTGACCACTTTGCCTGGGGCTTTGCCCCTGGTGATGTGGCCCGATGGCCGGCCACTCTCCGCGCAGATCGTGCAACGGGGTGGAGCAGCGCACAACGCCACCCTGTGCCCCGTCTTCCCGCACCGGAAGCACACAGTGCTCCAGTCTTCCTTCGCCGGGCATCGTGTCGCCGCGTGCCCCCTTCCCATACACCGGAAGCAGTGCACGCGCCGGCTGAGGATAGTCACCTTTGCCAGGCTCCAGCCCACCTTCAGTTTCCCCCCACCTGCGACCTTCTTCGCAGCCCATGTGGGACACCTGACGAGCATCCCCCTTTCTCCTCTTGGCCCTGGATGCACTCCCCCCGAAGTTACTTCGTGTACCGCGCAACCTCCCACTTTTGCTTTTTCCTTCCTGACCTCGTCCAGCGTCACGGACTCGTCGAGCCCGGTCAGCTTCAGGTCCGCGCACTGTTGCGGCCTACCGATCTCCGCGTACTCGCCACCCGCCTCCTCCATGCGCTTGGCTAAGGCATCCACCTTCATCCTGTTTCCAGGCCCCGATACGAGCAGGAGCCTGGAACCAGTCTGACTGGTCTTACTTTTCAGCCCGTCGTCGATACCCACGGACGGCAGCTCGATTGCCGCCCGTGCCATCTCTACAATGTGCGTGAAGGTGTAGCCCAGCTCCTCCGCCCTGGGCTTCGGCCTATGCGCTCCGGTTGGCCACCGGCGCCGCGGGATTACCGGGTCCCGCAGTGGGAAATTTGTTTCCGAGGTGTTTGCGGGAGATTGTGAGGATTTTGGCATCCTGCGCCTCAGAGGAGGCGGGGACAGCGACATGGAGGAGGAGGACATAGACCCACGCCGCGTAAAGTTAACACGGCGCAAAGGAAGGGCAAGCCCAAGGCTCACACGGAGGAGCAAATCAGGCGTGCGGTTGGCGAACACGTGGGAAGCATCGAAATGATCGCGACCCCGGATGTTAATCGAGAACGAGAAATATAGGGAGGAGGTCCTCAGCAAGGTGCAACAGATAAAGGACTGGATGGATGTGGTCATAAGGAGGGCAGTGACGGTCAGAACAGTGGCGACGCAGAACGAAACACTCCAGATGGAGAGGGAGTATTTTAAGGCGGAGGTCAAGGCCTTGCAGAAGGAGAAGGAGGAGAAGGACCATCTCGAGGCGGAGGTCGAGGCCTTGAAAAAGGAGAATGTGGATCTCTGGGCGGAGGTTGACGACATGAGGGTGAAGTTGGACGAGTTGAAGAAGCTGGTCGAGGAAAGGCTGCACCCTGCGCCGCCGCCAGTCACTCAACCGGCGATGTCGGAGGCAGTCGAGGAGCTGAAACGCTCCCTTATGATTACCATAGGGGAGATGGTCAGCATTCGGCTGGCCTCCTTGGAGGAAAGGCTGCCACCGCCGAAAAGCCGTACGCCGCCATTGGCGGCAGATCGTGAAGCGGAGACCACAACGGAGGCGAGGGCGACGGACCCGTGGAGCATGATAGTCGCCAAGGGGAAATCCAAGAAGGGCAAGGGCACGGCTGCTGCAGTCGGCCCTGCGCAGAAGGGTGAGGCTGTCACGCAGACCAAGAGTGTCCCAGATCGGAGGAAGGGTTACCAACTTCTCACCCTGGGGCCCAGCTACCCCAGAGCGCCCGGTGTCAACGGGAGCGCATGACAAATTCACCACGTTAAGGGACATTTCCATAGATTTTTCCCTGTTCCGGGCGAGGGAACCCTACCTGGCCTCTTCAAGGGTAATTTTTGAAAAGTTTTTCTTCCTTGTAGCCCCCGTCCCGAAGGACGGCGGCCCCCGGCCCCACACCACGTGCGGGGTCACGGGTTGGCCTGAAGCGATGCGGAGTTCGCGCCGCAACCGCCCCCACCGATGGCGTTACCGCCTCGACCTACGGGGTCTCGACCACCGCTTCCCGGGATACCCAGGGCGCCAGCCAAGACCGCCCCCGGGTTTTTTTTAGAGAGGTTGTCTTCCTCGTAGCCCCCGCCTCCAAAGGAAACAGTTCCTTTGCAGGCGGGCTAACAAAAATACCTACATCTTCTGTGAAAATTTCAACTATCTAGCTATCACGGTTCATGAGATACAGCCTAGTGGCAGATAGACTGACAGTGGAGTCTTAGTAATAACGGGACCCCCTTTTTAAAACTTTAGGTACACGTATAATAAACATCATCCCTAGTAACTTCAGCAACGCCAAATAATATATATAAGTTTTGTAACACCATCACGCAAAGCTAGAAACATATTAGGTTTGTATCACAGAATACCGCGTAATGTTAAGTTACAGTTATCGAAACACCAATATGACGGCAAAGTGCCCACCGAAGTATTGAATGTTAGAGTTTTCGTATGAAAAACATATTTTATGACTCCACGTCTCGATACGAACTCCGGGGTGAGAAACTTTTCTAACAGGATATGATTCGGAAATGATTTTTTTGGAGTTTTATCACATATCTTTGTGTCACCAATTCCAGCATTATATTGCCATCAGTAATTTTTTTGGTCGTCTTAAAACGTAAGCTTTTTTCTTGGTTTTGATTTCGGTTACTATTAACATAGCAGTCTCTGAAATATTCAACATGATAACTATTTGAATTTAGATGGTTGTGATTATTTTACTAGACAGAAGATATTGAAAGTGATTTTTTTAAGTCACAAATTCAGTGTTGTTGCCTATTTCTGTGTTAAAAAACAAATTATACCTCTTTCTGATATAATAATATCAGAAAGAGGTATAATTTGTTTTTTAAACTGTGAATAATGTTATACAGTGCACGAACTGATGATGAATTAATTAGCCTTAGTTAAAAAATCTAAATTTACTGAACTACGAATAATTAGATGATTCGCGCACAATTTGTTCGTCAAAAGGCAACATTGATGTAAATTGATTTAACTTTGTCGAAATTATGTCTGAACTGAATAACTCCGGGCCAAAGTGAGATCCCTGTAGAACTCCCAATTTGATTTATGAATATAATTTATCGCTAAAAGGTGTACTGATACAGTTTGTTAGTAAAATTATAACAGAGTGACCCAATTCGTATTTCTGATGGAGAGCTCTGCTGGCTTACAAATACTTAAGACTCCAACAAAAACCTTTATGTTTAGGCTTAAGTCTAAAATGCGAGTTTTATACATGATACAAGTTCGTCATAGCAATTTAAAGTTTTAGGCCCTTAAAATTACATTACAGATCTGAATTACAAATTATAAGAAAATGTTGAAAAATTTATGCTCGCTTTTTAGATTTTGAAGAAGTGATCCTGCCCTATAAAATCTAAAAAAAACCAAAGTCCGACTGCAGCAACCTGTTAATCTACGTATTGATATAAATTAAGTTTATATTTCTACATATTTATTTTATTTTCTTCCGTAAGAATCTTCTAAAAATATTAGAAAACTTTGAAAACTTGTCATTCTTGAATCCAGCGATAGATAACAGAAGCCATTAATAGATTATTTTGCAAATGGACCAAGCTTTGTTTTGTTTTCCTTTTGACAAAATAAAAAAGTTTCATTATTTGTTGATCTAATTTTGTCATAATCGCCATCTTTATATTTATTTATTTTGTTAATTTAGACTTATTAAGTATATGTGGGTATATGTATGTAGTTCCTATTACAAATGTACATTGATTATAAGTTTTTGTTTGCCATACATAACAATTTCTTCTGTACCTGTGCTCAGCGCTTTACTTATTTTATCTCTTATACATATTTACTGACTCTTAAGAATGTTAATTCTTCTAACCACATTTGAAAATAAAGATGAAATAAATAAATTATAAACACTTCTTGTCTTTAGAAATAAATAGCGAAAATTCCGCTTTTAATTAAAGTTTATGAAATAGTGTGGTTTTGTACAAATGCTATATTAACTAAATCTAGTCATTACTGGATGTACAATTTTATTAGTTGAACCAACATTACATGTTATAATCAAGAAGAGTAAGACCCTCAGACTGATCGAATCACATAGTTCATTCAAGTCTAAATTAAAGAAGTATCTGCTGAATATTCAAAAGCAATTTGAAAATATTGTCTGTCCCTATGAGAGCAAAGTTAAATACGCTAAACTCGCAAACTATTGGTGAGTAATGTGAGTCATAAATTGTAGATGTACTAAATTAATTAATTTACCAGGATTATATATTATTACTAGCTGACCCAGCGAACTTCGTACCGCCCTAAAAAAATAGGGGTTGTCCAGCGGACAAAATTGTGAATCTAAACCATTCTCAGATCCCCTTGAACACACACAAAAAATTTCATCAAAATCGGTCCAGTCGTTTAAGAGAAGTTCAGTGACATACACACTCACAGAAGAATTATATATATAAAGATTTATTGTGTGTAAGAATTACATAAATTGTAATTAAGTGACAGGTAAAAAATTGACATTGTAATTGATATATTTAACATTTATTGTGTGTAAGAATAATATAAATTGTAATTGACTAATAAAAAAATATGACATTTTAAATATAACGTGACATTGAATTGACTAAGCATTGAATGACATCTAAATGAATTGACATTGTAATTAATATATTTTACATTTAATTGGCTATTAATAAATAATTGAATTTAAATTGTGTAACTAACCACAAAAATTTGACGATGGGTAGCCTTAAAACCAGCTGCGCTGTGCCTACTCCTTCTTCCAATTCATATTTATTACCTACTTATATATAATGTAATAATAATAAGGTATGGAAATAAAGCACTTGTATTTGTATTTATAAGAGTATATTTTGATTCGATTTTATATATATTATTATATTTCCATTATGATAACTTAGTTCAATATTCAAATAACTGGTGAAACAATAATCAGTCCTAACTTGATAACCAAGTTTAATATTATTTTTAAGGTTAATACTAGGAATGGCCACTTTGATCTGCTTGAGCTCATTGATGCAAGTGGTAAGCTCGTTCGGTCTGCGAACGGTGACGTTACGTAACTTTCGCATGGGCCGGTCATCGGTTCGGTGACCAAAACTTTACTATCTCGAGGTCCTCCGTGCTCCGAGGCACCGAAGAGTTTCCGCTGCATCTCAAGTCTTTAGCACACTCTAATCTGCACTGGGCCCGCGTGGTGGATCATGACCCAATCTTCGTATTCACTTCGCCCTCCAGGCTCTCTCGCTACCAAGCATGGCTCTTACCATACTTGGCAGCGTGAGGCTTCCTCCGCCGACCGCCGCGATCAGATCGCGGCGCTCAATGGTTTTTAGTGAATCCTACAGGAACATAACATTTTATTTGGATAAAAGTAATATCTCAATCCAGAATCCAAATCTGTCCAATAGTTTTTGCGTGTTTGATTAACAAACATCACATATTAGATGGATTCTTGTTTCTTCTAACCATCACCATTGTAAAGCTACAGGTAAGACTGCTAAATAGTAAGCCTTCGAAAGATCTTCATTAATATTCTGAACTCAACAGATTATCACCTAAACCTTACTTAATCGCGCTATTGTAATTCCGAAGCAGATATAAGCTTCTGAAA